CAAATCACTATAGGCGTTAACAGTTGCATATGGAGTTGCATAATTTAGAGTGTGCATCGGAGGAGGCTTGGGACTGCCTTGCTTCTGCTTCTGAGTGAACATGTGTGTGTGTGTTTGCAGGGAGGCTTGCCTGGTAAGGGAAGGTGCTGTTTTTAAAAACTGTTCTAGGTGTTTTTGCAGCATGGCTTTGAGCTCGGGGGGGGGGATGCTTCTGTGCTATGATGGGTCTTGGGGGGGTCGTTTGTTTTTTTTGTTTTTCCCCCATTTCCGATGGGTCTTGGGGTTTTTTGTTGCTTTTTGGAGTGTTTTCCCCCATTTCCGATGGGTCTTGGGAGGTTGGTTGCTTTGGGGAGATTTTCCACATTTTGGATAGGTCTTGGGGAGTTTGTTGTTTTTTAGCTTCCCCCCCATTTCCGATGCGTCTTGGGGGGTTTGGTTGCTTTTTAGGTTCCCCCCATTTCCAATGGGTCCTGCACACTTCCCTCGCTTTTTCCTTTGTTTTCTTTGCATTTCCGACCCTGCCCCCTTTGTTCTCTGTGTTCCATCGGTCTTTCATTCTTGATTTTTTTTCCCCCCCCCCCCCGAAATGGCTGAAATGGATTAATTGCATTTCAATGCATTCCTATGGGAAATGGTGCTTTGACTTATGACCATTTTGAGTTATGTCCATCTTCTGGAACAGATTGTGGTCATAAGTCAAGGCACCCCTGTAATAGCCAATTCGGTAAATGTATATGCTGCCCCAACACATTTTTTTTTCACTTTCTCGGCCCCTCCACAGAGCTGAGGAAATGTTTAATTTGCCAACATTGTGAAGTGACTCTCTTCTTAAGCCACTGCACAATACTGACAATTCAAACTGGAAGGGTTACGTTTGGTTAGTTTCCAGTGATCACAGACAATGGAAAAAACAACAACCAAAAACAGCGATCTTACCCACACCAAAAAAGTGTGCTGCCTATATATCTCCCCATAGTGTTTAAAACACTCTCTGGAGGGTTTACGATTTTTAATTCTGCAGGCTACACATTGCCACCCCAGCAACCAGGGTACTCAGTTCACCAACCTTGAAAGGATAGGATAGAAGGCTGAGTGAACCTCAAGCTGGCAATTAAACCACTGCACCACAAGGTTCCAAGAAAGTAGAAGCCATGATGGGAGTCAGAAATATGCAGGTAAGACTACTCAGGGGAGGGGAACAGGTTCACTTCAGCACAGAAATCATCTGACTATCATTGCTGAGAGTGATCCTGCCCATTCCTGCTGCAACCCAAACAGTGGACGACACTGAGCTCTTGTCTCTCCTTCCATCCTTCTGCCTAATGGATGTCATCCCATCCCTTGAGTACTGCCTGGACACCATGCTGGACCTGGACAAGACGGAAGTCCTGCGAGTGAGTGCCCTTAGTGCCTGCGGTTTGGGTGCCCCCCTCTCCTTTGGGGGCACTACACTATGGACGAGATACGCAAGAGGGGCATACTCCTGAACCCAGCACTATCAGTGGATTCCCTGGTAGTGTCTGTGGCCTCTTCTGCATTTTTTTTTCCCCACTTGAGGCAGATTACCCAGCTGTGTCCCGACCATGATACCAGGTCCCTCACCACACTGGTCCAAGCACTAAGAGTCCTTTGATATGTATTCCTGCATCGAGTAGGGAGTTGGACTTGATGGCCTCATAGGCCCCTTCCAGCTTCACTATTGTATGATTTTATGATAGTCTTGAGATTAGACTACTGGAACACTCTTTAAGTGGGGCTGCCCATAAGACCGCTACAGAAACTCCAGCACGTCTGGAATATGGTGGCCAGTTTATTCAGTGGAGTAAATTAACACCATTATCTATTCCCTACCCTGGCTGCCTTGCACTGGTTACCTGGTCCATTTCCATGCCAGCTTCAAGGTGATAATGTTTACAAGGCCCTAAACAGGTTGGGACCTCAATAAATGGCAGAATGCCTTCTTCCAGTGAGATCTGCCCAACCTACTTGTTCGTCCCAGGCCAGGTGGTTGAGATCATTGACCCCCAAGAGAGGCCCCACACCTCTGGAATAATCTCCCACCTGAAATTCATCTGGCTTCTTCACTGGGAATTTTCAAGCAATCTTGAAAGCATAGCTGTTTAGACAGGCTTTTCCAGATATTACATCATCATAGTGCAGTGGTTTTTCCAAATCTTATATTACCCATTTCACCACCTTGCCTTTATTAATTATATGTATGCTGTTCTTTAATTTATGTGGATTGATATGTTTAATTTGATTTTTCATACTCTAACTATGAACAGTCTTTTTCTTTAAAGTGTTATTTGTTTTTTACCATTTTCTGAACCACCCAGAGTGGCCTTGGTAGCCAAGTGGGTGGTACAGCATTTGAATGAATGAATGAATGAATGAATAAACAAACTAACTAACTAACAAACTCACTCTTTTGGATAAGGACACTAAATAGAAAATGTAAAATCAGTATTAAAACAATACTCAGCCAATTAATAATTTCAAAACAAAAGCAAGGAAAACCACCACACACATTATGCTCCAATTAGCTGCTGGAGCTGCAATGTTACAAAAATAGCTGTAGTTGTTTAGTCGTTAAGTCGTGTCCGACTCTTTGTGATCCCCATGGACCAGAGCACGTCAGGCCCTCCTGTCTTCCAGTGCCTTCCGAAGTTGGGCCAAATTCATGTTGGTAATTTCGATTACACTGTCCAACCATCTCATCCTCTGTCGTCCCCTTCTCCTCTTGCCCTCACACTTTCTCAACATCAGGGTCTTTCCCAGGGAGTCTTCTCTTCTCATGAGATGGCCAAAGTACTGGAGCCTCAGCTTCAGGATCTGTCCTTCCAGTGAGCACTCAGGGTAGATTTCCTTTAGAATTGATAGATTTGTTCTCCTTGCAGTCCAGGGGATTCTCAAGAGTCTCCTCCAGCACTACAATTCAAAAGCATCAATTCTTCGGCGGTCAGCCTTCTTTATGGTCCAGATATCACTTGCATACATTGTTACTGGAAAAACCATAGCTTTGACTATGCGGACTTTTGTCGGCAAGGTGATGTCTCTGCTTTTTAAGATGCTGCCTAGGTTTGTCATCGCTTTCCTCCCCAGAAGCAGGAGTCTTTTAATTTCGTGGCTGCTGTCTCCATCTGCAGTAATCATGGAGCCCAAGAAAGTAAAATCTGTCACTGCCTCCATATCTTCCCCTTCGATTTGCCAGGAGGTGATGGGACCAGTGGCCATGATCTTAGTTTTTTAAATGTTGAGCTTCAGACCATTGTTTCTGCTCTCCTCTTTCACCCTCATTAAGAGGTTCTTTAATTCCTCCTCACTTTCTGCCATCAGAGCGGTATCATCTGCGTATCTGAGGTTGTTGATATTTCTTCCGGCAATCTTAATTCTGATTTGGGATTCCTCCAGTCCAGCCTTTTGCATGAGGTATTCTGCATATAAGTTAAATAAACAAGGGGACAATATACAGCCTTGATGTACTCCGTTCCCAATTTTGAACCAATCAGTTTTTCCATATCCAGTTCTAATTGTTGCTTCCTGTCCCACGTATACGTTTCTCAGGAGATAGATAAGGTGGTCAGGCACTCCCATTTCTGTGAGGACTTGCCATAGTTTGCTGTGGTCCAATGAAGCAGAAGTAGATGTTTTCTCTGCAACTCTCTGGCTTTCTCCATAATCTGGTCACTAGTTCCTCTTGCCACTGCTGAGTTTTCCAAACTCACTGGCATATTGAGTGTAGTACCTTAACAGTGTCAGCTTTTAAGATTTTAAATAGTTTGACTGGAATGCCATCACCTCCACTGGCCTTGTTGTTAGCCATGTTTTCTAAGGCCCACTTGACTTCACTCTCCAGGATGTCTGGCTCAAGGTCCGCAACCACACTATCTGAGTTGTCCGGGACATCCGGATCTTTCTGGTATAATTGTGTATTCTTGCCACCACTTCTTGATGTCTTCTGCTTCTGTTAGGTCCCTACCATTTTTGTCCTTTATCATGTCCATCTTTGTACAAAATGTTCCTTTAATATCTCCAATTTTCTTGAACAGACCTCAGAGTCACAAAGCATGTATTGATGTCAATGTAGGAATTATTTTTTTATTTACACATAATGTGCAATTTCTTTTTAGATTATCAAAGAAGAATAAATTTTGTTAGAGATTTTGGAACCAGCAGCCCCTGGGAGACAATAATAATATATTAATTATAGTAAACTTTAAATACTGGGGGATTGGTTTCTTTGTTTTGTTGCACAAAGGATGAAAAATAGTTAACTGATTGTGTGAAGGAATTTAAGGTTGCAATCATATACAAATTTGCATGTGACAGTCTCACTGACTTCATGAGGAGTTACTTCCTTTGAGACACATACAGGATTACACCATTGGTATTACTTTCAGTTTGCAAGAAGAAGGGGCAGCTTTTCTTTCATGTATATGGGGAGTGGAAGCCCCTGTAAATTCTACATATTCTAGATAAGTTCTAAATTCCTACAAAATTCCAGATCCTGTTTCAGGGTTTTTCACTCTGGAAGAGTTTGGATAGGATATTGTTGTTGTCAGTAGCAGTTAGCTGCGTTTTCATGTCAGAGTTTTGTTAATGGTTAATATTAAGCAGGAATAAGGCTCTTTGAAGTCTCAGTTAATTTGTTTATTTTCCTGAATAAATATTTGATATTAAATTTCAGTAGATTTAATGGAAATACCAACTATTAAGTCATGGCAAATGTCTAGGTTCTACAGTCCATTGTAAGTAAGCAGAGCATTTATTTTCCATTCTAACATGTTTATAAAAGCTGATTATAACAGCTTTTATAAACATCCTGCTGCAATCAGTACTTATTGCTGACATTGTTTGCTGTAAACTCCTTGTCCCCCATCTCTTCCCAGACTCCTCCCACTTTCCAAAGGTGGGGTGTGTGTGACCAAATCAAAGGGTGGAGCTTTGCCGATTGGAAGTGTCTCAAAGTCTGCCTGTTGCACACATTACTTTTGCAGGGCATATTTTGAAGATCTTTGGTATCATGCTGTAATCACATAGGTATGTACAATGATGGTTTTCTTTATTGATTTCTAACTTCCAAAGACTTTTTGTTGTGATAGTTAAATGTATATTCCTTATGTTCTACATGTGTGTTCACTTTTTTCTTGAAAGTTATAGGCAAAAAACTTTTAAGCATGAGATTTCTTAAGAAGAATCTAAAGCTTCTGGAAGCTTTTTTTAATGCTATAAGCAGTTATCTGGCTTACAGTATTACTTACATTGTTAATTGTTTTCTAGTTCAGAGCACATATTTTATACTTTGTATTCCATAGAGAAAAGAATCACAAAATAATGAGATACTCTGAGATTTTGCAGGGAGCCAAACTAATTAGATAGATAGATAGATAGATAGATAGATAGATAGATAGATAGATAGATAGATAGATAGATAGATAGATAGATAGATAGATAGATAGATAGATAGATAGATAGATAGATAGATAGATAGATAGATTTGTTGGTTTGAAATATCAGTAAACATTTAACATATAAAAATCATAAACCTACACTGAAATGTGATTTAATTCTGTTATTTGGCAATTCAGATATATTAGTGGAATACAGTATACACATCATTCAACTTACTTACTTGGGGAGTAATGCTCAGATATACTTTTCTGAGTATATCTGGTACGTTAGAGTGATTATCCTTTTAGCCCTACATGTCCTTGTAAATAACTATAGTATGGGCTTGCCACTGCTACTGTGCTCATTCACAAAAACTTTCCTAACTCTCTAGATAATACATTTGCTGTTTTGAATAATTCATAGAGATGCTGAAATCATTTTAATCTTTCAGAGCTTTAAATGAATAATGAATAACAATCACATCCAACTTAACAGAAGTGATGACCATACTTTCTGTTTTGGTGTTAAGATTATTAAATAAGCCAGCCAGTAAAGCCCAAAAGTCTGTCAGAAGTATGCCAACAAATAAAGTTTATCTCCCCATGCAGCATAGTAATTTTGTGGAAGTTTTGTCACAAGAGTACTTTTAAAGACAAAAATCAGAAGCATTTACAGAAGCATTTGCATTATGAATTATACTGTCAGGTCTTCCAACCATAGGCAGAATTAATTATTGTTATATTTAAATATGCGGTAGTAACTGGCTGCTCCCACTTTCAAATTATCATACCTGCTATCCTGGCTCACATGCTGAAATTGAATCTGAGGGCTTTCTCATTTAATGTACATACTTGGTTTACATAAAAAATATGGCTGTATTTTTGTACATATATCTTCCAGATACTCAAATGTGTTAACCCCTTATAAGAGTAGGATAATCCTGCTTGTCTTTCTGGCTGCTCTTCAGATATTCTGTATTTACCCAGATAATGGGTCTTCAGCTAGCATACTGGGATCCACTATCAGAACAGGGAATCCACTGCTAGTTCATTGGGAACTTAGAATGAATCAAAATATTATGGCGTGTGTACAAATGTACACCCAGGTTTGTGTTTTTTGTGTTGTGAGTTTACTTTAGTGTCCCTTTTCTTTTCCTTCTATAACAAAATGTATATTTGTTTTTGACTCTAATATTAATTTCCTTTCATCTTATATTTTTATTTCTTTATGTATTAAAACCTTCATAATGACCTGGATTTGGGGATACAGGGAATGCTAATCATATTTCCAGATGATAAAAATTTGGATGGAATAGCCAACACTCTGGAAGACAGAAACAAAATTCAAAATGATCTACAGTAGATGGGTTTGCACAATGAGCTGAAAACAAAAGAGTGAAATTCAACAGGGATAAGTGCAAAGTACTACACCTAGGAAAAAGAAACCAAACACACAGTTACAAGATGGGGGGGGGGATACCTGGCTCAGCAATGCTATGAGCAAGAAGGATCTTGGAATCATCATAGATCCCAAGCTGAATATGAGCCAGCAGTGTCATGTGGCTACACAAAAGGCAAATGCTAATTTCAGCTGCATTAACAGACGTATAGTCTCCAAATCCTACAAGTTAACTGTAGTCCCCTTCTATTCAGCACTGGTTAGGCCTCATCTCGAGTACTGTGTCCAGTTCTGGACACCACACTTCAAGAAGGACACTGACAAATTGGAACAAGTTCAGAGGAGGTCAACAAGGATGATCAGGGCAGTGGAAACCATGCCCTATGGAGAAAGACTGAAAGGAACTGGGCATATTTAGTCTTCAGAAAAGAAGAGGGGGGGAGGAGATATGATTGCACTTTTCAAATATTTGAAAGGCTGCCATACAGAGGAGAGGCAGTATCTGTTCTCAATCATCCCAGGGAAAGACTTAGCTTTTTAGGTAGGCTTTTTAAGCAACAGTGGGTTTTGGGGGGAAGATACCGTGATTTTTAAAATCACATATTTACAATGTTTTAAATGTCTTTTTAAAAAGTACCAGTATTTTTTTATGTTTAATTATTTTTAGTGTGTTCTTGGAAGTGATTTAAAATAGCTATTATAATATGATTTTAGGTGACTGTAAACGGTCTTGAGCCCCTTGTGGAGAGAAAGGCAACATGTCAAGCAAACAAATAAATAAATATATGTTACAAAAATAGATTTTATGGATTTTTTTTTAAAATAACCATTTGTATTTGCATTTGAAATGACTGGTAGTTTCAAACACAGCTGGAGGATACTGATGTGGGACCTGCTGGAGATGTGGAACATGTGGGCCAAGGTGGCCCATCATTGCAATAGACTGATTTCTTCTGATGATGTTGCTACGAGACGTAAATAGTGATGGCACCCAGTGGTATTATTTTTATGAACACTGATAAGTGATGTTGGGGAATAAATGCCAGAGACTGATACGAAAGAAGGCATTTCAGATGTGTCTTTTTTCTGTACCTTCAATTAGTTGCAGAGAGACTGAGATATTTTTGTGGTCTGTTTTGATAACTGAAGAAATGTGAGAGGTCGTTTCGATGAATCAGGCCATCAGAACAGTCTGACAAAACAACTGTTTGTAAAGAGTGAAGATGACATTGGGATAGGAATTGAAGGGAATGAAGTCATTGCCCCAGTCCATTTAATATTTTAAAACACCAATTGATCTGATGGCATACTTTTATGTCATGAAAGGATATGACTGCCTAGGGACCCCTGGACGATTTCTGTGCCTGTCCTTAAAAGGGAAGGAAAATGGAGAAGGGCCACTGTACATGCTGTCTCACATGAATGCACACACATTTGTGGATGTGTGTGTGCACATGGTTTTGCTTGCACTTGTTACTGTATATTAAACGCTAGGCATTCATTCATTCATTCATTCATTCCCACCTTTCTCTTAAAAGGATCCAAGTCAGCTTAGAGTATTAAAATGAATAGTACAAAAGTTAGAAATAATAAATTATCACAATATTAAAAAGAATTTTAAAAGTATATTTAACATGAAAGGTAAGTGGGCAGACAGAATGATGCATTTTTAACAAATAATTGCTGCCTACAAAAAGTATAGCTTAGTGAGATATGGTTTCAAAGTTTAATTTCTCTCTCTCTTACACATATGCATTTCTACACATAATTGTGTGCCATCAAGGGAATACAACAACGTTTTCCAGGATTTTCTAGCTATAGAGTACTTAGCAGTGGTTTACCATTCTCTCCTGTGGGTTCCCTACAACTGTGCAGCTTGCCATGGACTGCAGAGGTTGGCTCTTCTACGTGGCATGGCGGGGTGGGGGTGGGGAATCAGACTCCCAACCGGATACCTAACTCACTAACCAGGTACAAACAACCAAGCACACCGGATCTTGTATCATCAGTAGTGTATTTAGCATGCTGAAACCGCCACAAACACATGAAGATCTGTGGCAGTTAAGAAGAGAGGTAGAAGGAGATGCTTCTCCTGTCTTTGATCTCATCCTCATTCAGAGCATAGATTCCCAAGGTATGTTTGTATGCATATTTATTTATTTAAAATATTTTTATCCTGCCTTTCTCCTTAAAAGGATCCAAACTAACTTATGTACAGTAATTAAAAAATAGCATTTAAACCTAAAAAAGGTAAGAATAAAAATATTAAAAGAAGAATTAAACAAGTATTATATTAAAATGGTGAATAAATAAAATATTAAAATATATTTAAAACAACAGAGCACAACAATCCTTTTAAAACCCTTCTCAGACCACGTCATTAAGGAAAAAGCCTGTGTGACAAGAAAAGTCTTTGCCTGCTTGCAGAAGGACAGGAAAGATGGAGCCAGCTCTGGGAGCAACAACAGAGAAGGCCCTCTCCCGTGTCCCATCAGACACACCTGTCAAGGTGGCGTGGCCAAGAGAAAAGCCTCTCCTGATGATCTTAACACACGAGCAGGCTCATAAGGAGAGATGCGGTCTTTGAGATAGCTTGGACCCAGGCCATTTAGGGCTTTATAGGTTAAAACCAGTACTTTGAATTGTGCCCGGAAACTGATTGGCAGCCAGTGGAGCTGCTATATCAGGGGAGTCATATGTTCCCTATAACCAGCCCCAGTTAACAATCTGTTTGCAGTAGTCTGGACCCTTTGGAGTTTCCAAACACTTTACAAAGGAAGCCCCATGTTACAGTAATCCAGCTGAGATATAACTAGACCATGTGTCACCATGGCTAGATCAAACCTCTCAAGAAATGAGTGCAGCTGGCACACTAGTTTTACTTGTACAAAGGCACTCCTGGCCACTGCTGAAACCTGGGCATCTAGGCTCAGAGATGAATCCTGGAACACTCCCAAGATACTGGTCTGTGTTAACCCCATCCAGCACAGGCTACAACCCTATTCCTTAGTCTGCTTTTCTACTGACCAGGAGCACCTTTGTCTTGTCTGGATTAAGTCTGAGTTTATTCGCCCTCATCCAGTCTTACTTACACAAACACACAGAGATAAATATGCATTCTCTCTCTCTCTCTCTCTCTCTCTCTCTCTCTGTGTGTGTGTGTGTGTGTCACACAGATATATAGAGGAACAGAAGAGATCAGGGGAATAGCAAGTGTCCTTTTATTCTCCCTACACACACACTTTGAACAAATCCCTACGGTTACTGGCTTAGAGAGGTACCAGTCAAAACAAATGTAGTTACCTCAGGCAGATGGCATTATTAACACTGGTAGGCAAATGGAGTGGTTATCTGCTTGGAACCTGGGGTATAGTTGCACTCAGTACATCTGGAAAGGTGTGTTTTGAGCACAGAGTTGTGCAGCAGCTCTGACCCATGTTTCTCCATGGGTGAATCCACATTTCTTATGATTTTATGCTGAAATCATTTAGGTATGTTACGTATCTTTAATTATATTATTCAGGAGTTAATGTGGTTCTACAGCTGTTTCTCCTTATTGCTGTTTTATGCTGATGTTTGTATATGTTAACTAATTATGCACTTATGTGTTTTGTGTGCTGGAAGCCTGTAAATTTCACAGACACCATGAGAAGCCGAAGGAATGGTACCTTGGAGAGCTCAAAAAGTCTTTATTCCAGTATCTCTCGTAGTACAGACCTATCATACAACGAAAGCGTAAGTGATGAGTGAATTATTGTATTTTAAATGTTGTAAGCCACCCAGAGACCTTCGGGTAGTGTGGGCGGCATATAAGTTAAATAAATAAATAAATAAAAAATAATGCTCATTCTACACATCTGACATTGGTAAAATACTTCTAGCCTTCAGTTGATGTTAAATGTAATTGTCTTTTGCAAAGAGAAAAAAAGAGTTGGTGACAGTCTTCTTTGCTAGTGTTGGATTTCCATGGTCAATTTTGGGGATTTTGGTAACTGATTTTTGTTTTGTTTTGATTTGTTTTATTGTAGTTGAACATTCTATTAAAGATTTTATCAAACACTTGTCATCAGCATGTTGCACGTACCCACATGAGAAACTGCTTAGACTTACGTCCTGTTAAGCTGCTCCTTCTCCTCTTCTGTACACCATGCTTGCAGAGAAGTGGCTCAACTCTTCCCTCACCATTGTTACTTCCTCCACATGGAGAGTGATACGTCTACAGAGTGAGGTTCCTGTTCTTGTGTAGGCTTTCCATGTGAGCAGGAACCCCAGTTTTCTATGATTCTTGCTCATGTGCAGAGTCTAAATGTGAGGAGGAACCTCTCCCTCTGCTGATACGCTGCTTTCCATTTGGTAAAAGCAAAATGGAGAGGGAAGGAACTAGGTGTTCTTCTCTACACAGAAGTGGATAAGTAAGAGCTGAGTATGGCTTTGTTGTTGATGGGACCAAATCAAGGTACTTTGGTTTTAGCTGACCAAAAATGTCAGATACAACTGAACATGGCAATCAGTGTACGTGAACAACTTAAATTATGCTGGATGTCCAGAATGCCTTGTGTACTGTGCACAGGGCTATTATTTTCTTATACCCACTTGAACCATTTATTTGGTACAACAGGTGATTGCGTGTGCCATTAACCTTGTGTTTCATCTGATTTATGCATTTCATGTTTTGATTTCTCATTGTGGATCTGAAGTATAAGTATATGTCAGTATCTGGCAGGTTTTTTAAAGCAACATCTGAAAATATACGTGATTGTGAGTTCTGTGCAACAGCGCACACCACTACAACATTCCAATGCATGCCTATGCATAAATCCTTAATTGTGTAGAGTCCTATTTCATGAGATTTAGAAGCTTCTACAGAAGAGAAATTTCACAAAACAAGCATCAGAAATGCCAACAAAGCTTTTCTTGGAGCATGGGGTTTATCCCACTGTTCTTATCACATACTGCATTTGGTTCTGTAATAACAAAACAGCACTTTAACAAATAATAAGCCTTTTGCCACATATTCTATATGATGCAAGGAGGAAAAAAAGTAATGCTATCTTAAAGGGGGGGGGCACAGATTTGTGTTTTTTGGAAAACGAATCTCAGAATTCCCTAGACGAGCAGTTGTTAACCTTTTCTTTATCATGGACTCCCTGTAAATATATTTTGTTGCCATGGACCATTAAACTTTAACTAAAGATTTAAAACCCTGAAGTGTATCAAATATTTCTTTAAAATTTCTCATGAAGTGTCTTCAAATTTGGAGAGAAGGGAGAAATAAGTTAATCTGTTAATGCACACAGACCTATTATACTATTTTTATTGGACCTTTAGAAAGTTAAAATAATAATAATATTGCACAGACACTGACAGACTCCAACTCTTTCTTCCCGTGGCTTCTGACTATTGTCACAGTTGCAAGAAATGTCACATGCTGTCTCTCAGACACTCAGCACTATTCACTTGTATGTTCTCACTGTATGCAGAAATATTAATCAGTTATTTGCTCTCAAACAGTTATGTTCATCACTGATTTTTACTTTTGTGGTAGGTTACAAAAGCCAAATTCGACACAAACAAGGAAGGGAAATTAAAATTCTTTCTTTCTTTCCAAAATATCATAACATTTCTTCAAGCGTTAGTGGACCCCCTGTGAGGACATCACAGCCTCCCAGGGGTCTGCAGACCACAGGTTAAGAACCTACGCCCTAGACAGTAATGTTGCATAGGGGATTCTGGGACCTATACTGCAGAAACACAAATCTACACACCTCTGAGTTTTGCTCACTGCTTCCTCCTAGAAGGATTCATATGTTAGATGTCAGATATTTGGGAAAGGTAGCTCAAAGCTATTCTCCCCATTTGTCAGGAAAAGATGAGAAGAGCCATTTCTGGAACATTAATTCCCTAGGGGTTTTTGCAGTGCCTACCATGATTGTCTGAATGTTCTCCTTTGGAACACTGTGCAAGTGGAACGGAAAGGGTGATGTGTCTAGGGCATGTTTCACTTTAAAGGGAAACGTTATCCTGGGTCCAGTGTGTTACTTTTATGTGCCAAGGTGTAAAGTGAGAATGAGGCTCATGCTGTTGGACACTTTTCCTCTAGAATCATAGAATCATGAAGTTGGAAGGGGCCTATAAGGCCATTAAGTCCAATCCCCTACTCTGTGCAGGAATACAAATCAAAGGATATCCGCCAGGGGGTTGACTAAGTTTCTCTTGAATGCCTCCAGTGTTGGGGCACTCACCACCTCTTGAGGTAATTGGTTCCATTTTTGTACTGCTCTAACAGTCAGGATAATATTCAACTGAAATCTGGGTTCTTGTAACTTGAGCCCACTGTTGAGTGTCTTGCACACATTTTCTCTTCTCAACGCTAAACATGCTCTGTATCCCCTGTTCAGGTCCTCCCTCATAAGGCTTGGTTTCCAGACCCCTGATCATCCTTGTCACCCTCCACTGAACTTGTACCAATTTGTCCACATCCATCTTGAAGTGTGGTGTTCAGAACTGAACACAGTAGTCAAGATGAGGTGTAACCAGTGCCGAATAAAAGGGGACAAGTAATTTGTGAGATTTGGAGACTATACTTCTGTTAATACGGCCTAAATTACCATTTGCCTTTTTTGTAGTCATATTGTACTGTTGGCTCGTATTCAGCTTGGGATCTACGACAATTCCAAGATCCTTCTCTTTCGTAGTTTTGCTGAGCCAGGTATCCCCCATCTTGCAACTGTGTTTGGTTTCTTTCTCCTAGGTGCAGTACTTTCGAAAGCCTGTTGAATTTCATTGTTTCCAGCTCATTGCTCAAGCCCATCTAGATAATTTTGAATGTTCTTTCTGTCTTCCAAGGTGATGGTTTTTCCACCCAGTATTTTGTCATCTGCAAATTTGATTAGCGTTCCCTTTATCCCCTGATCCTAGTTATTAGAAAAGTGAAGAGCACAGGGCCCAGGACTGATTTGTGGAATACCCCACTTGTTAACTCCTCCCAGTTTGAAAAGAAGCCATTAATCATCACCCTCTGAGTACGATTCTGGAGCCAACTGTGTATCCACTTGACAGTTGTTCCACTCCATTCCTAGTAAGCTTGCTGAGGTAAAGGTAAACGTTCCCCTTGACAATTTTTGTCCAGTCGTGTTCGACTCTAGGGGGCGGTGCTCATCCCCGTTTCCAAGCCATAGAGCCAGCGTTTTGTCCGAAGACAGTCTTCCGTGGTCACATGGTCAGTGCGACTTAGACACGGAACACTGTTACCTTCCCACCAAGGTGGTCCCTATTTATCTACTTGCATTTGCATGCTTTCGAACCGCTAGGTTGGTGGGAGCTGGGATAAGTGACGGGCACTCACTCCGTCATGTGGATTCGATCTTACGACTGCTTGGTCTTCTGACCCTGCAGCACAGGCTTCTGCGGCTTAGCCCACAGCGCCACCACGTCCCCTAGTAAGCTTTCTATTCAGAATATAATGGGCACTTTGTCAAAAGCTTTGCTGAAGTCAATGTATACTATGTCTAAGCATTCCTTCTGTCTATCAGGGAGGTTACCAGATCAAAAAATGAGATCAAATTAGTCTGGCAGGATTTGTTGTTGACAGATCCATGTTGGCTTCTAGCTATTGCTGCATTGCTTTCTAGGTGCTTGCATAGTGATTGCTTTATAATCTGTTCCAAAATTTTCCCTGGGATTGATGTCTGGTCAGTAGCTCCCAGGACCCCCTTAGGCCTACCTGAAAATTCCTAGGTGGTTTCCTGTCCAAATATAAACAGTTCAGACTTTGCTTAGCTTTTGAAATCAGACAGGATTGGGTGATGTGGAGATGCATGATTTTTAAAAATCTTTTTTTCCTTCTGCCCCATCTGAATTACAGTTTAAAAGACTGACTTGGGAGAAGTGTTTAAGCCAAGGGACTCATATTCTACTATGTTTGATTGTATCACAGATGGAAGTGAGAGCTGGACCATAAAGAAAGCTGACCGCCGAAGAATTGATGCCTTTGAATTGTGGTGCTGGAGGAGACTCTTGAGAGTTCCCTGGACTGCAAAGAGAACAAACCTATCAATTCTAAAGGAAATCAACCCCGAGTGCTCATTGGAAGGACAGATCCTGAAGCTGAGGCTCCAGTACTTTGGCCATCTCATGAGAAGAGAAGACTCCTTGGAAAAGACTTTGATGTTGGGAAAGTGTGAAGGCAAGAGGAGAAGGGGACAACCGAGGATGAGATGGTTGGACAGTGTCATCGAAGCAACCAACATGAATTTGACACAACTCCGGGAGGCGGTGGAAGATAGGAGGGCCTGGCGTGCTCTGGTCCATGGGGTCACGAAGAGTCGGACACGACTAAACGACTGAACAAACAAATAAACAACGTTAGCCCTCCTCCAGTCTTCTGGCACCTCACCCATTTCCCATGATTTCAAGAAAATAATGGATTGCAGTTCTGAGAGTTCTTCAGCCAGTTTCTTCAGTACTCTCAGATACAGTTCATCCTGCCCTGGAGATCTGAATTCATTCAAAGTAATATGGCATTTCTTGGCTATTTGTTTGTCAATCTCCAGCTGAAATCTTGTTCCCTCCACTTGGATTTCATATTTCTCTGAAGGATCATAGTCTGTCCTTTGGGAAAAGCTAAAATATGAATTGAATACTTCTGCCTTTTCTTTGTCATCTGTTATCATTTTTTCCATCTCCACTGAGTAGCTGTGCTTTGTCTTTCTGAATATCTCCTACCCTCCCAACTTGACGAAAATCAATGTAGCAGTTTTCGTATGATGTAGTAAGAGACAGGAGATAGACAAAGACATGGAAACTTACTTGCATTTATCTGGATTTCAGAAAGTAGGTATAAAAGTAGACAGTGGAGGGCATCCTGTTCACTACAGACTCCTGAAATCTCTGGCTTGCTTCTTTGCTTACTTATCCAGTTCTGGAATAAGAAGCAGCAGCATTTGGAGAGGATGAAGACAGGTCTTCTCCATCCCCACCACCCCCCTTTGACACCTAATGTTGTTGTTGATACTTACTTTCAGTTCTGAGCTTGCTTGCTTTCCATCTACGTGCTGTCTTTCCCAGCAGCATAAAGCACTGGTAAGTAAACTCTGGGCTTAAACTTGCACAAGGAGCAACTGGATATTTTTTTCTTTGAGCGTAAACATAAAAATCCCCACTGTGAGCAAAATGGACTGTCCCGTGTGAGATGCAGGGCAATATGATTCTCGCCAGTGAAACAAGTGACTCTTAAAACTCAAGACAACTTTTACAAACAAAAATAGTTCTAGCTTTTCTACTTATTTTTGTTGTTGGGAATAATGCTTTTTTTCCTTCTGAAATAAAGGGTTGCTAAGATGCTAATTAGCATTTGGAAAATAGAAATGTTCATTCTGATGTTTCATGTTCATTCCCAAAGGATTTGGTGTGCTTCATTCAAGAGAACTTTAGGAAGAGAGAGTGTGTCTTTTTCACTAAAGATGCCAAGTCAATGTAAGCAAATATTTGTTACCTATTTCTGAAGTTCTGAGTAATGTTTTTTGTATTGAAACATAGATTGTTTTAATGCATGATCCTGAAAAGTGCACTTGAGTTGTTTGTGCCGTATATGAATCACAGTCAGAACATGAAGAATCTCAAGGCTCATTGGGCATCCGGCCCAGTCACAGCTGTCCTCAGGAGAGGCGCTTTGGGTTGTTTTATTATGACTACTAAGAACAGAGCCTTTACAGCACAGATTGGAAAATTAGTGAAGAATGGTCACACATTAGGTTATTCACTAATTAGCTAGAAAATTATATTCATGTTGAAAAGAGGCTCTTTAAATTGGCATTTAAATTTTCATTACATTACTATACTACTATACTAAAAACCTTACCGGAACAAAAGTTAAAATCTCATCTAATCCTTTCAGAAAGAAATAGCTGCAAGAATTTGTGAAAATCCTATTTCTTATCTGTCCAACCAAAAGCCCTTTTCTGACCTTAATTTTTTCCGTCCCTTATGACCTCATCTCGTGGACCTCTCCTTAGTTTAGGCAATGCAGAACTTGAAGTAGGAGTTAAAATCAGAGTTTCTGTTGTGTTGTTCATTGCTAATTCCAACATCTAGTGATAGATTTAATTTTTGTGCTGTTCTATAACAGGATAACTTACCACTGGCAAAATATTGATTTGATTGCACCAACCCGAAATAAAGATAAACATTAATTGAATTGCCAATTATGTTAGAAAATATCCAACTTAATTGATAACTTAATTGATTCTGATATATTGGTGCCAATCTCTGCTTTGAAGTCACAGCACCTGCTGTGCCTGAGTAATGTTAGGCAGCCACTAACAGTTTTGACTTCACTGAATTGATTGACATCATTTTAGAGTTATGTATTTCATGGTGCATGTTAATGTGGTATATTCATGTCCAGCAGGATATGCATTTATATAATAAATAAACTGAATGATAAATACTTGAATGTAGCATCAGACATCTGCTAAGGAAAGAGAGGGAAAGAAAGAGGGTGGTCCTCCTCCCTTTTGTGTTGTTCTCTGTTGGCTGCAGCCCCTCTGACTGTGGCATGCAACCCCAAAGGAATGTGACCCTGGGCAGAAAGAGCTTTTCTCACCCTTACCTTACAGAAATGCTGTAAATATTTAGGTGTCTGGCCTTGGTTTTGAATTATTTTAGATTAGCTGCTGTCCTTGCTATGCCCCTGAGCAAGAAATAAAAACAAAAACATAAACCCCTGATGGTTAGCTGTTTTTTCTTTTCCTGTATATGTCTTGATAGTGACCACCTGTGTAAATGTGGGTACTTGAAATCGCAGCACATAGAAGGAACACAGATTAACAATAATGAGAAATGGAATTATAAAAAGCACACGAAAGAATTCCCAACTGATGCATTTGGAGATATTGAATTTGAAAACTTGGGCAAGACAGGGAAGGTAAGTCAGTTGAATGGCTTTTTCATTATTTTATTTAGAACCAGTTTTTCTTAACGTTGATGTCTTTAAGTGTTAATTTGATGATAACAGAATATTCTTGGTCTGATATACAGTGGTGCCTTGACTTATGACCATAATCCGTTCCAGAAGATGGATGTAACTCAAAATGGTCGTACGTCGAAGCACCCTTTCCCATAGGAATGCTTTGAAATGCAATTAATCCATTCCGGCCGAAGAACCCCCCCCCCCAAATCACTGCAAGACTCATTGGAAATGTGATGAATCTCTTTTGGCTAAAGGGGGGGGGGAAACAATCAGGCGTGCAAGACCCATTGGAAACGCACAGAAAACAAATGGAGCAGATTGGAAATGCACAGAGAACAAAGGGGGCAGGTCGGAAATTCAAAGAAAACAAAGGAAAAAGCAAGGGAAGCATGCAGGACCCATCGGAAAAGGAGGAAAAAACCCCAAAAGCAACCCAAACCCTGAATGCCCATTGGAAATGGGGGGGGAGCCAAAAAACAAATAAACCCCCCAAGACCCATCAGAAATAGGGAACCCCAAAAAAGCAGCCAAACCCCCCAAGGCTGATCAGAAATGGGGAGAAAGCCAAAAAACAAAACCCCCAAGACCCATCAGAAATGGGAACCCTCCCAAAAAAGCAACCAACGCCCCCAAGACCCATCGCAAATTGTGGGGAACAAACAAACAAACCCCCAAGACCCATTGGAAATAGGGAACCCCCCAAAAGCAACTAAACCCCCCAAGATCCGTCAGAAATGGGGGAAAACCAACCAACCAATAAACCCCCCAAGACCAATCGGAAATGGGGAAAAACACTCCAAAAAGCCCCTGAGACCCACCGGAAATGGGGGGGAAACCCAAAAAAACAAACAATCCCCCCAAGACCCATCACAGCACTGTAACATAAACCCCCAGCTCAAAACCACGCTGCAAAAACACCCAGAACAGTTCTTAAAAAGCAGAAAACAGCACCTTACCTTACCAGGTAGCCCGAAGCCTCTCTGCAAACATACACATACTCACTCAGAAGCAGAAGGAGGCAGTCCCAAGCCTCCGAAGCCTCCAATGATCTCTAACTGCTGGGGCGAAAGAGCTACAAAGAAGCAGCCTCGTCGCCACCTACAGTTAGAAATTTTAATTTCCCACCTTTTCCCCCTGCCTTTTTCAGTTCGTAAGTGGAAGCTCCGGTCACAAGTAGAAGCAAAATTTTGCTGCCGGAGCTAGTCGTAACTCAAAATGGTTGTAAGTAGGGACGTTCGTAAGTCGAGGCACCACTGTACTGTTATCTGCTATATTTAAAATACTGTTATTCTAGTCCAATGATGGTGAACCTTTTTGAGCCTGAGTGCTCAAACTGCAACACAAAATCAACTTATTTATTTCAAAGTGCCAGCACTGCAATTAAAACCCAAATACTGAGGTTTTAAGTTTAGAAAAAACAACTGCTCCTACATTGCAAGGGTTAAATGCTTGTGTTTTTTCTTCTTCTTATGGGTGCTATTAACAAATAAATACTTACTGGTCCTCCAATCACCCAATGGTCTAGCTCTAGACCAGTGGTTCTTAACCTTTGTTACTCTGATGTTTTTGAACTGCAACTCCCAGAAACCCCAGCCAGCACAGTTGGTGGTGAAGACTTCTGGGAGTTGCAGTCCAAAACTCCTGAGTAACCCAAGGTTAAGAACCAGTGGTCTAGACCAGCAATGGTCGCCATTGTACCCCTCCACTGGACCACTGCACCAGCAGAAGGGAGTGCCAAAATCTGGGATTGGAGGATGTGTATTTCTTGATGGCAATTTATGGCTCACATGCCCACAGAGAGGTCTCTGTGTGCCAGCTGTGGCACACATGCCATAGGTTCACCATCGCTGTTCTAGTCTTTCAGCTGAAAAATGGCAGAATTTTTATTAGGTTTTCCTATTTTATTATGTTAAAAAGGAGTTGAGAACTATTGGTAGAAAGGCAATATGAAAATATGTGGGGGTAACTGAAGAAGGAAGGAAAAAAAGAGACAGGACTAATGTTTTAAAATAACTGAAAATCTAAGCCTGTTGTCTGTTTGCACATGCCTATTACATGTTAATTTGTATGTATGCAGGCAAAATGGAAGCATGACTGAGTGTTTCTTATACAATTAACATCTCAAGGCATTAAAGCAGTAATGACAAAAGCTCAAGGCTGTATGGAGGGGGAAGGCATAGACACAATGAGGTATCTGCATGTGACTGAATGGAATCTGCTTTTATGCTCTAAAAATGATGTTTCTCTCCTTTAAGTATATCCGTCTATCCTGTGACACAGACTCTGAAACACTCTATGACCTAATGACCCAATACTGGCACCTGAAAACACCCAATCTCATCATCTCTGTAACTGGTGGAGCAAAAAATTTTGCTTTAAAGCCACGTATGCGTAAAATTGTTAGCAGGCTGATCTACATTGCACAGTCTAAAGGTAAAAGTCTCTTTTTCTGGCCTTAGTGAACCAAACACTTGCTTTAACTGAGGCAGGCTAGCACAGTACAGAGAAAAGGAGGAGCAAGGGTAAGGCACAGCCTGGGCAACATGTTCTCAGCTATGCTTCACAAATGCAGTCCTTAGAACTGAAGTGAATCTGTTTCAGTGTGAGCCCTATTTCTAATCAAATATGCTCAAGTTCATTGCATCACCTAGCATCCCAGCACCATTCAGACCAAGAGAAGCATTGCCATCTATTTCAGTGGAAAGCGGATTGTAATTTTAACTGCCTGTGATGACTTTGGCTTGTGGGCTGTAGGAGGGTTGGTTTCTTTCAGGATTTGTCTACATCTCAGGCTGTCAAGTCACCTTAACCCATGCAGGGAATCTATTTTCCATGGTGCGACATTTCCTGTAGGGACAAAGTTGATTGTCGGTGTGGGTGTTCGGGAGTCTGTGTCTGTCCTTCTCCCCTCCACCCTTTCAAGTTGTACCGACTCCTCTTGCCTCATATGTGTGCCCCTGACCAAGTAATTACTCACTGAAACAGCTGCCACCTGACAGAAAAATGAAATGCGGAAAAGAGATGAGACAACACAAAAGTAGTTCATCATGGCGTTTCTTCTAGGTTTAAGAGCAATGTGAAAAAAGTGTACTGTAGTTCCAGCAGTGCCTTGGAAAACACAAGCATTCACTGTGTGTTTGCCAAAAAATAAATCAAAATACTCTCCATAGCCAAGCAGTAGTAAAATCTCATATGCTTTCTCTTTTCATGCTCCAGATTGCATAAAACATTTGGTATGTTCGAAGTCTGAGTCACTTGCTCTTGTCCTCTCAATTCACAGGGGCCTGGATATTCACTGGGGGAACTCATTATGGATTGATGAAGTACATTGGGGAAGTTGTAAGAGATAACACTATCAGCAGGAGTTCAGAAGAGAATGTGGTTGCTATTGGCATAGCTGCTTGGGGAATGATTTCTAACCGGGAGAGTCTAATGAGAAACTGTGATGCTGAGGTACTGACAGCTCACATCTGCGTATTACAGAAGAAGGGGGGGGGGGATTTGCTTCCCCTAAAGTCAGTCAGTGGATCCATGTCTGCAATGCCCAACTGAGGCATTAGAATTTAGAACTTTTGCTTACGGACATAGTATCTTGGCTTATTGTTCTTGACACTGCCTTGAACAGTAATTATTCTCTATTTATCATTGAGGAAATCATTAGACATGATATTATAATACATCTGTTATCTTACAGCCAATTAACTACATTTTGTAGACCATTGGAAGGGCTTGTCTGAACCGTTTTGCTGTGTGAGGCAGAATGGGAGATGTTGACCCACCTCATAAAGGCATATAGTACTCAAGGCTAACCCAGTTATTTTGGCACATGGTGCAAGAAAGAAGGAAAGAAAAAAAATCCTACAAATATCCTCTGTTACTCTGTTAAAAAAAATAAAGTAGAAACAAGTGACTTGGAATTTATTGTTGTCCTTTCATGATGCTGAGATGTGCTTAATGGCAGGGAATTCTAGATGACAATACATGATTGCACAATCAAAGTTGGTGACACTGATTTTTAAGTGGATGTCAAGATGATTAAAGATTATGGACTGGCTGGATATACAGAATAGTTAGTCACCTTTATTTTTCAGTTTGGTGTTAGCATTAGCTTATTTTTAAATAATGTCTGGTTTGTTTTCTAGGTGCATTATTCAGCACACTACATCATGGACGATTTCAAGAGGGACCCATTGTACTGTCTGGATAATAACCATACACATCTAATTCTGGTTGATAATGGTACTAATGGATATCCAGCCATAGAGGCCAAGCTCCGAACTCAGTTAGAAAAATATATTTCAGAACGCATTATTCCAGGTAGGATTCTCTCTGGGATATTGTACTCCAATTCAATGTCCCACTAGTTGAAGAGCTATTAGTCTACTAGTTGTGGACTAATGTCTTTAATAGGACTTCTGTAAAATGCCATGAAGTACAGTTTCTGGAGGTGCAGCCATATTAGTTTGTAGTAGCAAAGCCAGGAAATTAATCTGTTAATTTACAAGGTGTTAAAATGTTCTGCATTCTGCTTATTACAGCATGTAGAACAAGCTTTCAAATTCTCTCAGTGCTTCTGGATATTAAGCAAAAGCCAAGATAAAAGGAAAGCAGAAAAGAGGGAGAGAGGGAGAATAACAGTGATCAAAATCCACTTGGCACAACTTTGCTGCATAAATGGTGGCACTGTTAATCTTTATTTTATTTTAAGTGTTCTAACACCCCCCTTTGCAAATTTCTGAAGCTCCTTAAGGATTTGTTTTGCTTTGGGAAGCCTTTGGGAGATAGAAATAGTGGGAAAAATCACCTCTGGTGATCCCACCCCCAGAATGAGTCTGCTGTCTGCAATCTGGTGGCAATTTTCTGACATTAAAGCCTCCCTCTCCTGTTCTGGGGTTCTCAAACTGTGACTCTGGGGAGCAAATATCAGTGATAACAAAGACTGTCTTGTGTGTTTGAAGATAATACAGCACTAAAGAAGCATGAAAGGTTTCCCCCCCCCCTCAAACTGAATATTTATTCTGGTGTTATGCTACTTAATGTGGAAAGTATTTAACAATTCAGAAAATGTAGATGCAGAAACTATGAAGTCTCCACCTGACCTGGGGAAACTGAGAGGCAAACTGTATGTCATGGAGATTACCATATTTCTTTAATGACTTGTCTGTACCCTACCTTCATTTTAATACTAGAATTATTCAGGTGAGGAAAGCAACAGCATTTCCTGTCTTGCCTCCCTATGTGGTATATTATTTACAACTTAGCTTATTTCTAGTTTCGAAGCCAGACTAAAAGGAAAAGAAAGACTCTCCCTGACCAGAGGGAGATAAAGCAGAAAGCTCAGTCCACCTCAGTTGCACATCAAAGTTAGGTTGCCCCAACCTTAGAGACGAAGACATAAGCAACAAATGTGGCTTTCCATGGCAACTCCATCTTGGCACTCAGTGAATGCCTACACAAGAGTTCTTTTCTTTTTATATTAGGAAGAAAAACAAGGTACTGTACTAGATGGATTAATTGTAGGTCTGCTAATTTAGGAATGAGAAAATTCCTTGTTTTCTATAATACTTTCCTGATCTTCCTTTCATAGTAATAATAAAAACAATGCAGAAGTTGTGAAATGTTTCCTCCTTTAAAAGGCAACCATTTTCAATTTGTAGAAATTCCAGAAAACACACTGTAAAGAAATGTCTGTAAAAATTGCAGCAATTGCTAAGAGCTATCTGTTACGAAAGACAAATCACATGAATGTAAATCACTGAAATAGATGACCATAAGGACATTTCCTTCCACAAATTCCTCTTAATTTGGTACTCATTATATATTTATCAGTAGTGTTGATTAATAAAGACCTTTATAGGTATTCTTAAAAGCATTCTGAACAATGGAATCAGAACATAAAATCACATGATGCAAAATGTTGTGGAGCCTCCCAGAGAGAGTCCCTTTAATGATGGAAAAGCCATAAACTTTTAAATAAATGATGATATGAATGAATTGGTTTATAAATGAATACATATGATATGAGAATACTGAGAATTGTGAACTATTTCAAGTGTAATAGAGGACAGATGTGTAATGTGGACTCAAACGTATATATTTGTATTTTGCTTATTATGGAATTTGTGTTTTAGATTCTAACTATGGTGGAAAAATTCCGATTGTGTGTTTTGTACAAGGAGGAGGAAAGGAAACTCTGAAAGTAAGTACAATGTGTCCCCCGCCAAGCTCTGCTTCTACCCTTAACTGCTTCAGGATAAGTGTGATGTTAGAACAGAACAATCCAAAATTGTTTGTTGTAGATTAGGAACCCATTTTCTAGGACAAGGAAGTTTTCAAAGAAATATCGATTCCACATGTAAAGAAACTTCTCTGTTCTCAACAAATGAAGAACAATTCTCTGATCAGAGGTGTTTTAGTATCAAATTTCCTGTAGCCATAGCCATAAACAATTTTTCATAGGCTTATGCCTGTTTAGATGTTTAAGCTTTCCCCCCTTGAATCACAGTCTGAGCCCTCAGTTGCCTTTCTTGTTGTTATAATTGTTTCACATCTCTGATCCCTAAGAATTATTGGTCTCTTTTTATTTATTTAT